AAGCAAGGAATGAAGGAGCGAGCAAGGGAGGGAGGGATTCTCCAAGGCACCTGAGGGTAAAAGAAAAAACAATGGGTGGAAACCAAGGAGAGAAGCAACTTAGAACTGAGGAGGAATTTCCTAACAGTGAGAACAATTAATCAGTGGAACAGAAGTTGCCTCCAGAAGTTGTGAATGCTCCAACATTGGAAGTCTTTAAGAAGATGTTGGACAACCATTTGTCTGAAACGGTGTAGGGTTTCCTGCCTAGGCAGGGGGTTGGACTGGAAGACCTCCAAGGTCCCTTCCAACTCTGCTATTCTATTCTGTTCTGTTCTGTTCTATTCTATATGAATGGTTGTATCTTGAGGTCTATCTGGAATTCATTTAGGGTCTTGGCATGGAGTCCAGACAACTCACCTTCCAAAGCAAAGCCAATTTCCTGAATCTCTGCATTTCAGGCTAACACGCTGGGGGACCCCTTGTAACCCCCTCTTCTTCTGAACAAGGAAGGGCGGTGAGGGATGGGCTACGGACTCCCTTTCCCACTTGTCATTCGTCAGGCACCCCAGAAGGCACTCCCTCACCCACCCACCCCCATCCCGGGCAAGAGAACCTGTTAATCACGCACGGCAGCTGCAGTTTATCAAAGGCATTAATATTTCACATTGCATTAATTAAAGCCGGCGGCATTAACGAAGGAACAGGCTCCTTTCAGGGGCTGAATTATTATTTTAATCTCCACGCACCGAGGGGTGTGTGATTTGAAGAGGCCAACGTAACTAGCAGGAGCTGGAAGTCCATTAAGGCTGCTCCAGAACCAACAGGGCTGGCGTTAATTAATGGCTGGGGAGAGAATGGAGGCAGGCAGGATTGGAACTCAGTTCCCACCCCGATGTTCAGCTTCCGAGGGAGAATAAGAGAGGACCTCTCCTTATTCTGTAAGAAAGAATTTCCACGGCACCACACAGGCTGCGTAATTGGGGTGGGGGAGTCAGGTTGGGGTAGAGAAAATTTGGGGTGCGCTGCCTTTCAAGGATTCTTTCTAACAGAGCAGCAGAGCTGGAAGGGACCTTGGAGGTCTTCTAGTCCAACCCCTTGCTCAAGCAGGACTCTCTATACCGTTGCAGACAAAAGGCTGTCCAATCTCTTCTTAAAAGTTTCCAGTCATGGAGCATCCATCATTTCCAGAGGCAAGTCATCCGTCTGAATAATTAATTAATTAACAGAATAACGGAGCTCGAGGGGACCTTGGAGGTCTTCTAGTCCAACCCCTTGTTCAAGCAAGAAACCATTTCCAACAAATGGCTGTCCAGTCTCTTCTTAAATATCTCCAGTGTTGGAGCACCTTCCTTCCTTCCTTCCTTCCTTCCTTCCTTCCTTCCTTCCTTCCTTCCTTCCCTCCTTCCACCTGTCTTGTATGTTATCTCTCTCAGAATTCTAGGGCTGGAAGGGACCTTGGAGGTCTTCTAGTCCAACCCTTTGCTCAAGCAGGACTCTCTATATCATTGCAGACAAAAGACTGTCCAATCTCTTCTTAAAAGTTTCCAGTCATGGAGCATCCATCATTTCCAGAGGTAAGTCATCCGTCTGAATAATTAATTAACAGAATAACGGAGCTTGAGGGGACCTTGGAGGTCTTCTAGTCCAACCCCTTGTTCAAGCAAGAAACCATTTCCAACAAATGGCTGTCCAGTCTCTTCTTAAATATCTCCATTGTTGGAGCAGCCACAAGCCCTTCCTTCCTTCCTTCCTTCCTTCCTTCCTTCCTTCCTTCCTTCCTTCCTTCCTTCCTTCCTTCCTGTCTTGTATGTTATCTCTCTCAGAATTCTAGGGCTGGAAGGGACCTTGGAGGTCTTCTAGTCCAACCCCTTGCTCAAGCAAGAAACCATTTGCAACAAATGGCTCTCCAGCCTCTTCTTAAATATCTCCAGTGTTGGAGCACCCACAAGCCCTTCCTTCCTTCCTTCCTCCCTTCCTTCCTTCCTTCCTTCCTTCCTTCCTTCCTTCCTTCCGCCTGTCTTGTATGTTATCTCTCTCAGAATTCTAGGGCTGGAAGGGACCTTGGAGGTCTTCTAGTCCAACCCCTTGCTCAAGCAAGAAACCATTTGCAACAAATGGCTCTCCAGCCTCTTCTTAAATATCTCCAGTGTTGGAGCACCCACAAGCCCTTCCTTCCTTCCTTCCTTCCTTCCTTCCTTCCTTCCTTCCTTCCTTCCTTCCGCCTGTCTTGTATGTTATCTCTCTCAGAATTCTAGGGCTGGAAGGGACCTTGGAGGTCTTCTAGTCCAACCCCTTGCTCAAGCAGGAAACTCTACATCATTCCAGACAAATGCCTCTCCGCTTTCTTCTTAAAAACCTCCCGTGATGAGAAGCACCCATAACTTCTGGAGGCAAGGAGTTCCACGGGTCAATTGTCCTCACTGTCGGGGAATTTTTTTCCTCCATTCCAGGTTGACTTCTCTCCTTGGTTAGTTTCCATCCGTTGCTTCTTGTCCTGCCCTTTAGAGCTTTGGAGAACAGGTTGACCCCCCCAATTCTTAAAAAACACCTCCAGCACCCACAACCAGCCTTCTTCTGGGGAATCCTGGAAATCCAGGCACCTTCAAGGGGCCAAGATTGAGAATCCTTGAGCTACTACCTAACTGGGCCGGAAAAATTCTACCTTTCGATGCGAAATTTGTTTAATTATATTTGATTTGGAAGAACGCTTATTCCGTTATATGTTAATGAAAATTGAATAGAAAAGAGAATGCCGTTTGATTCTTCAGTCTGTTGGTCAGAAGCCACCCGCCATCCTGCCACAGGGGGGAAAAACAGTTCGGCCTTAATCTAATAATTTGATTACCTCCAACCTGGTTAGAAATGAGCCTGTCACCGCTTTTGAAAAATGGCTTAATTGTTGCTTGTTCAAGTAGGGCTTCACCCTTCTCTGCCTCCATCCATCATCCTGAACACAGTTCCGAGCGAAAGACAACCTCGTTTCCCATAACGGCTGCCGTCCTGGGAAATGGCACGGCTGTCCTCGAGTTACGACCGTCATGGAGCCTGCCTCTGACGGTCGTAAATCCCAACCGGCGTAAAACAGGCCGGTCACGCGACCGACACGGCTTTTACAATGTGTTTGGGCTGTTCGGTTGTTTAGAGCAAAGGTGGCGGTCATAAGTGCAAACACTGCGGTCGTTAAATGGACGCTGCGGTCGTTAAGCAAAGCCATTGGTCTCTCGGGTGCAGTTTTGCTGAAAACTGTCGTAAAATGAAGTCATGTGACCATCGGCAGCCGCAAACGGCTGTAAATACATATATATAATTATTTGGTAAAAATAAATGAGTAAGTAACCTTAACAAGCGATGCTGAATGTGGCCACGTGACTCTGTGACTTTGGGTCTAAGTAAATCCCCTTTTTCAGGTCAGCCGTAACTTCAAAGGTTGCTTAGCAACCAGTGGTAAACCGAGGACCACTTAGGGAAGTTTGGTGCCTGTCCATCTGCGAATCTTAGGACAGAGAACTTAATAACGAGTAGGGGGCTCCAACCTAGTCACTGTGAAAGGGATCTTGGAGTCCTAGTGGACAACCGTTTAAATAGGACCCAGCCGTGTGCGGCAGCTGCCAAAAAAGCCAACACAGTTCTAGGCTGCATCAACAGAGGGAGAGAATCAAGATCNAGTATAGATCTATTTCATGATTAAGTGCTATGTCAAAACACCCGGAGGGAGCATACTGCTAACCCTTAATCATTTCCTCAGCTCAGCTGATAAGGGAGGAGAGCTTGTGGCTTAGAGGCTAATACAACTGCCTAACAGGTAAAAACAGTCCAGGTTCGAATCCCAGTAAGGGTATGGCTAGCTGCTGAGAGCTAAATAGCTTGAAATCGATCGATACTAGTCTCCCTTTATTTATTTATCAGCAAAAATGCAACACAAAAATGGTTTTTCTGCCTGGAAGGGTCCTAGGGTGGAGCAAAAGAGAAACAGTATGCTCCCTCCCACACCGGATGCTTTGACATAACAATATATACGCATGCATGTATGCATGCATGCATGTTATGTTCCAGCATAACTCTGGAGCGCCTCGAGCAATTTCAGCCAAACTTGGTACACAGATGACTTACCCTCTGGAAACAAATACTGTGGGGATAAGACACCCCTGGTGTGTGTGTGTGTTTGTGTGTGTGTGTGTGTGTGTGTGTGTGTGTCCCTGTGAGACAGATGCTTCAGGGCAAAGGGCCAGGATCGTAGACAGGGCAGCAAAGAGGAGTGCATGGGAGGGGGAAGGGAGAGGATAGGGATGATGGGCATGGGAGTAGTAGGAAGAAGGGCCCCTCTTAATGGCTCCCTGTCAGACAGACACTTTGACATCTATAAATACCCAGGCAATGTTGGGTTATCAGCTAATATATATATTTACTATATATATTTATTTATTATATATATATTTTATATATATATAAAATGGCTGTGTGTGTGTATATGTTCCAGCATAACTCTGGAACACCTTGAGCAATTTCAGCCAAACTTGGTACACAGATGACTTATCCTCTGGAAACAAATACTGTAGGGGTAAGACACCCCTAGGGGTGTGTGTTCTGTTACGATACAGCCTGTTGTGCCTTAAAATGGCTTCTACCGTATTGTTGTAAAATGGCTTCTACTGTACAGCACAGAGGAATTGCCATGGTACAGTACTCCACAAGGGGGCTCCCTCTGGTAAGGGAGAAAATCCAATATTAGAAATTGGGGCAACGTTTATGGAAGGAGGGTTGGGATAAATAAATACGTGCCAGGTTATCAGCTAGCGCTATTATTAAATTTGCAGATGATAGAACAGTGGTGGGACTCATTTCCGGGGAGGTGGGGGATGAGTCTGCCTATCTGGATGAGGTGGACCAGTTGCTTTCGTGGCGTGGAGACAATCATTCGGTCCTTAGCACCAATAAGACCAAGGAGCTTACAGTGGACTACAAAAGGAATAGATTAGACATCCAGCTCTTGCTTATCAATGGAGACCGAGCGCGTGGCCAGTTTTAACTTTCTGGGTGTCGTCATAAAAAGAGGACCTGGCCTGGGGCAACTCACATTGCAGCCCTGGTCAAAAGGGCCCAGCAGAGATTATACGACCTGAGACTTCTCAGGAAACAACAACTGAATGGGAAACTGCTGACGACCTTCTACCGCTGCACCAGAGAGTATTTTAACTTACTGCGCCTGTGTCTGGTTTACCAATTGCACAGTGGCAGAGAGGGCAGCGCTCCAGAGGGTTAAACGTCATTGCCCAGAGGATCCTGGGTTGCCCTTTCCCCACTTTGGCAGAGCTTCGTAGTTCCCGCTGCCTTAAGTAAGTTCAAAAGATCCTTAAAGACCCATCTCATCCTGGGCACTTTTTTTTTTTAACTATTATCATCTGGCAGCCGGTACAGGACAATAAAAAACAAGGACGAATAGGCTGAAAAACAGCTTCTGTCCTAGGGTAGGAACCATATTGAATTCTACGGTATAGTCAGTCCAATGTTAATGCAATGCTGGGGGTTTTCAATCCAATTGTATATTGGATGGGTGTTCTTGCTTTATTTTTGTAGCTTTCTTATGTACGACGTACACCAAAAAATAGCATTTGATTTCGTTTGTACGAGATTGCCGTGACAAGAAAGTAAACGAAATAAAAGCTCATCCCACGGGCCCCATTCAGTGACATCTTTCCCCACCGATGGGCTTAGGATGCCCAGGGAGTGGGCCCTGTCGTGTCTCTGCCTGAATTCCCCCCCCCCCCGCTCCTCCTTCCTCCCGTGCTGGGCTTTAGCTCAAGTCCGAGAAGGGCTCCGATGTCTCTCACCAGCCAGGAGCTGGGTAGCTGGGCGGCTGCGTGGCAGATTCTCTACCTTTGGACGATTCGTGCCTGAGGCAGTTTGTAAGGAAACTTCTTATAGGTCGCCTCGTCCTCCACGCTTTGGAGTTTGGCTTGCAAGCTACGGACCTCAGATTGGCTTTTCAGGAGGAAGATGCCCCGGCCTTGGTTGGAGCTGGTGGGCTTGCAGATCCAGATGTGAGGCTCTGCGGAGAAGGAGAAAGCTGCCTAAGTTGCTAGTCCCTGGTTTTTATGACCCGAGAAGCCTGCAGAATCACGTTGGGGGGAAAAGAGGCAGCTGCCCCACCGAGTAAGAATAGGATAGAATAGAAGAGTTGGAAAGGACCTTGGAAGTCTTCTAGTCCACCCCTTTGCCCAGGCAGGAAACCCTATACCGTTTCAGACAAATGGTTATCCAACATCTTCTAAAAAGTGTGCAGCAGCTGCCAAAAAAGCCAACACAGTTCTAGGCTGCATCAACAGAGGGAGAGAATCAAGATCCTGTGAAGGGTTAATACCACTTTATAAGGCCTTGGGAAGGCCACACTTGGAATACGGCATTCCGTTTCGGTCACCATGATGTAGAAAAGATGCAGAGACTCTAGAAAGAGTGCAGAGAAAAGCAACAAAGAGGATTAGGGGACTGCAGGCTAAAACATACGATGGACAGTTGCAGAAACTGGGTATATTTAGTTTAAGAGAAAGAAGGACGAGGGGAGACATGATAGCAGTCTTTCAATATCTCAGGGGCTGCCCCAAAGAAGAGGGAGTCAAGCTACTCTCCAAAGCACCTGAGGGCAGAACAAGAAGCAATGGGTGGAAACTAATCAAGGAGAGAAGCAACTTAGAACTAAAGAGAAATTTCCTGACAGTGAGAACAATAGCAATAGCAGTTAGACTTATATACCGCTTCATAGAGCTTTCAGCCCTTTCTAAGCGGTTTACAGAGTCAGCATATTGCCCCCAACAACAATCTGGGTCCTCATTTTACCCACCTCGGAAGGATGGAAGGCTGAGTCAACCCTGAGCCGGTGAGATTTGAACAGCCGAACTGCTGAACTGCAGTCAGCTGAAGTAGCCTGCAGTGCTGCATTTAACCACTGCGCCACCTTGGCTCTAACAATTAATCAATGGAACAGAATTTGCCTCCAGAGGTTGTGAATGCTCCAACACTGGAAGCCTTTAAGAAGATGTTGGATAGCCATTTGTCTGAAACGGTATAGGGTTTCCTGCATAGGCAGGGGGTTGGACTAGAAGACCTCCAAGGTCCCTTCCAACTCTGCTGTTGTTCTGTATTGTATTGTATTGTAAAAAACTTCCAGTGAAGAGAGCAATGAGATTGCTCTTTGGACATTAAATTTGGCAGAGGAAGAGCCAGCTTTGTATAGAGGCCTCCCGGGGTGGCCAAAAAAGTCAAGATGACAGACACAACCACACCACTGAAGTCCTGGCAAGGATCAAAGGAGGTTGATTTTTTTCTGATTTCTATGATTTCAAAGCACGGTGTTATTTTTTGTGTCAATTACAAGCCCAAAAGATCTATCGAACGACTCAATTTTTCACATTCTGGAGCAGAAACCGATCCAAAACACAAGACAATCCTCGGCTTACGACCACTAACAGAGCCCCAAATTTCTGCTGCCGAGCGAGACAAAGGGATTCAGTGAGATTTGCCCCATTTTACGACCTTTCTGGCCACGGTTGTTAAGCGGCTCGCCGCACTCGTTAATAATAACAACACGTTTGTTAAGGGAATCTGGTTTCTCCGTCCCTTGGCTTGTGAGAAAGTCACTAAAGTGGATCACTTAATGACTCTAGGACACACGACCGTCGTAAATACGGTTGTGTGGGCAGCGGGCGAATTTTGATCACGTGACCATGGGGATAGGGCAACGGTCGTTAAGTGAGAAAAGTCTCTTTTCCTAATGCTGTTGTAACTTTGGATGGTCACTAAGCGAAGCGCTGTAAGTTGAAGACTGCCTGTATATTCTTTCCACCTGTTTCGGTGCATTTAAACATTTTAAAAAGATGTCGCAGCGATCGGGAACCGGTTCACGGGTGTGGTGAGCATGCCATCCCTCCAGCTTGAAGACCCAGTCACCATTTCCACTACCGGTTCCACCGAACCGATGCCAACCAGTAGGAACCAGTAGGAGCAAAGAAGGCCAGTTGAAATCTTTCCACCCGTGACAAACGCCAGTGACATCACAGGAATCGTGACATCATCCAGCAAATGACATCACACAAGGAGATGATGTCACTTGCTTGACTTGGCCCCTCCTGCTGCGCCTCATTTAAATACTAAAATCCCAATCCGCTCCGGGCTTTTCTTATTAAAACCCACTTTGAAATCTATTATGATCTTTATTGTGTCATATTCATGAACTTGGAAAGGGAGACAGAATCATTGCTTTGGTGTTCACCTTTATATATTTCAAAGAAGATTTCTCTCTCGTCTTTGGTGTCCAGACGAAAAGTCTCCGGGAAAAAATCCTCCATTTTTAACAATCTGTGAGAAAGGGAGAGAAAGCAGGGAGGTGGGGGAGAGAGAATTGAATAATAATAAGCTCACACAAAGAGACGTTTTAAAGAATTTATAGCAATGGAGTAGAATAGAATAACAGGGCCTTGGAGGTCTTATAGTCCAACCCCCTGATTAGGCAGGAAACCCTACACCACTTCAGATAAATGGTTGTTCAATTTCTTCTTAAAAACTTCCAGTGTTGGAGCATCCACGATTTCTGGAGACAAGCTGTTCCACGGATTAATTGTTCCCACTGTCAGGAAGTTTCTCCTTAGTTCTAGGTTGCTTCTCTCCTAACCAAGCCAAGCCTTGTACAGGTAGCCCTCGATTTGCAAGCACAATTGAGCCTAAAATTTCTGTTGCTAAGTGAGCTGTGCCATGCTTGTTAAAGCGAATCACTGCAGTTGTTAAGTTAGTCACCTGGTTGTTAAGGGAATTTGGCTTCCCCCTGGACTTTGTTGTTTGGAAAGTCGCAAAAGGGGGGGGGCGTGGCGTCACAGGACTCTGCCAACCGTCATAAACATGAGTCGGCTGCCAAGCTCCTGTATTTTGGGCTCAATTGTGGTTGTAAGTCAAAGACTACCTGTATGAAATATTGGTGAGCAACTGTCCCTGATGGGAGGAGGGATCAAATAGGGAATTAGCCTGGGCTCCTTACATAGACATTAGAGGGCAAGGTCTGGCCTTTGAACCTTATCTAATCTTTCCCAGGTGAATCGGCCAGGGTGAGAAGATTCCTGTAATATAGATTCCTGTAATATAGACGCTGTCAACTTGTAAAGCGTTTCCATGACTACTATCAAGTGGACATAGAAAAAAGGAGAAAAGGGAGGAGAATTCCATGTATACCTTTAGCCAGAGTCAGGTCTCATATTCCTACAGCTGGTGTGGGAAATGCACATGTTCATAGCATGCCACAGCACTTTGTTGGTGGATGTGATTTATGACACAGACAGAAGGGAGGGGGTAAAGTTCAGACGCTATTAAGCAGAAATCAGTTTCGCCTCCGCAGAAGAACATGCCGAAATGTTGCTCCTCATAAATGAATGGATTTCTTTTGAACTTTGTCTCGAGGCTCGTAAATTATTTCGGTCATCTTTTGGAAACTTCACAGACGCAGAGCACTAAAGTGTAGAGTTTGAACTCTACACATGTGGATTTGGTTGTTTGTGCCTGATACTAAAGGGATTTTTTTTTTCAGCTGATGCTATTGCCTCCCCGTCAGCACATAAGGGCCTTGGTGGTTTTTCTGTCATTTTGGAAAACCTAACACCCCCCCCCCCTTTGACCTCCAAGATCTCTGGGATGAATGATGGTGGTCAGGGGGTTTCACTGGAGAAAACCATCTGTAAACCATTTCAAGAGATACCCGAAAGGTTAAGAGGGCCTTACTTGGCTGCCTGGCCGATCTTCTTCATCACCCGGTCATATTCTCGGAGGTTCATCAACAGCCCGATCTTGGTCGTCAGGATCTTGTTGTTTGGGATCTGGTAGAGAAGCTGCTCTCCTGAACGGACAGAAAAAAACAAACAAAATCAAGGGCTCAGGCAGCATAGGAGACGAAGAAGGCATTACAGGCAGTCCTGGCTTTAACGACCGGTCACTTAATGACCGTTCCAGGTAAGGAGGGACGGATGTGCTCTGAACTGAAGAGGTTACCTGGTTGGGTCATGAAACGCCTGTGAGAAAACCACCGAGTTCAGAGAGCACCAAGGACTGCACAGGCCTCCTCCACCTCCTCCTCCTCCACTCCTCAAACCCCACTCCCTTCTAGCACTGATGACGTTATCTCGTTTGGTAATGAAATGTCTGCAAGAAAACAGCCTAGGGCCCCACAATTCTCCTCCCTGAAAATCCTACTCCCTTCTAGTACTGATGATGTTACATGGTTGGGTCATGACATGTCTACAAGAAAGCAACCAAGCTCAGAGAGCACAAATTGCCCCACAGTCTTCCTCCTCCTCTTTCCACAAACCCCACTTCCTTCTAGCACTGATGACGTTACCTAGTTGGGTAATGAAACATCTTGAAAGCAAATAGCGGAGCTCAAAGACACCAAGGACCCCACAACCCTCTACCTCCCCACCCCCTTCTAGCCCTGATGAGGTTACCTAGTTTGGTAATGAAATGTCTGCAAGAAAACTATCAAGGACCCCACAATCCTCCCTGAGAATCCTACTCCCTTCTACTACTGATGATGTTACATGGTTGGGTCATGAAATGTCTACAAGAACGCAACCAAGCTCAGAGAGCACCAAGGACCCCACAGCTGTCGTCCTCTTCCTCCGCTCCACCAACCCCACTCCCTTCTAGCATTGATGATCTTACCTAGTTTGGTAATGAAGGGTCTGCAACAAAACAACCACATTCAGAGACCATCAAAGACCAACTGTTCAACTCTGAGCTACATTTTTTTTTCTTTCTCCCTAGCAGGGACGTGCAGTCAGGGAGGCAGGGGAGGCGGGGCCTCACCAGGGTCATGAGGAAAAGAAAAGAATAATTAAAAGGAAAAAGGCTAAGGTAGTTGCTGACAGAGTCACAGTGGATGAATCTGCTTAGTGCTTAACTGCAAGGGGAGGTGAGAGAACTAAGGGCCTCCTTTACTCTAGCTTTATGATCACTTGAGCAGAGTTAAGCAAGGGTTAAAAGGTGAAAAATTCCTTATGCAAAGGAGACACGTGTTCTATTGCCTCCCGTAGAGGGCATTTTTAGAGGCTTTTTAGAGTTCTCTGGGAGCAACTACCTTAGCCTTTTTCCTTTTAATTATTCTTTTCTTTTCCTCATGACGCTGGTGAGGCCCAGCCTCCCCTGCCTCCCCTG